AACGACGAATAGTCAGACAAAGAAAAGAAACCCCCCGTAAGACTGTAACAATTTCTGACAGAGGACCACAGTTTGCATCACGGATGTTCAGGGAACTATGTGCCAAATTAGGCATCAAGCAGAACATTTCTAGCGCTTTCCATCCTCAAACTGATGGACAGTCAGAATGTGTCAACCAAGACTTAGAGTTGTATCTTCAGATCTTTTGTAATCACCAAGCAACTGATTGGACAAGTCACCTGCCGCTAGCAGAATTCGCACATAACAATAGGTATCATGATGCCATCAAGATGTCCCCCTTCCAAGCGCTCATAGGTTACCAACCTTGGCATAATATTCCCACTGTGGGAACAACAGATGCTCCGGACATTGCTTCTAGACTCACTCAACTGACACACCTGCGCACAGAGATCCAGTCCAGTATTCAGCTAGCAGAAGAAACTGTCAAAAAACGGAACAAAGACAAGTCCATTGAATACTCACCGGGACAGAAGGTATGGTTGGAAGCCACTAACCTCAAAGGCCTCCACCCAAAAGCCAAACTCGGACCGAAGCGCTATGGACCCTTCACCATTGATCAGAAACTGTCATCTATCATCTACTGCCTGAAACTACCGCCCAAATGGAAGATTCACCCTGTATTCCATGCAGGATTACTCTATCCTTATTTGGAAACAACAATGCATGGGAAGAACTATCTCTGACCTCCACTGGAGCTAATCAAGAACCAGGAGGAGTTCGAAATTGAATATATCATTGATTTGAAGACAGTAGGCAAGTGAACACTGTACTGGGTAAGATGGAAAGGATACCCAGCCTCGGATGACTCCTGGCTGCCAAAAACTGAACTTTCACATACCAAAGATGCTTTGGCAGACTTCCTGTAGCCAAACAAAGGATGATCCCTCATAAGAGCCACCCTCCTCTATCTCCCCAATGGCATCCACAACCTTACTCCTCACTCTCCTGCTCACCAGCTGGTTCCTCATCACCTTCCTCATCCTCATCCTCATCCTCGTCCTCGCTGTCTTCTTCCTCAAGGAGACCTACACCTTCCGTGTCCACGTCGACCAAATCCCCACTCCCGTCACCACCTCCATCGACAAGCAAGCTCTCAACTGGGCCAATAATGGAGCACAAGTAATGTCTCCCATTGAACTAACCCCTGCACCCTTTACTGATCTTCTCAGTGGTAAACCAAGTTGCCCCTCTCACTGCTGTCACCCTCGCTGTCGTCAACGAGCATCCCCACCTCCTCCTTCTAGCCCTCCTGGGCTTCTTCCTCACCACCCTCCTCTCCATCCTTGCCCTCACCCTCATCGTCCCCCTCACCCTTCGTCTCACCATCCAACATCTAGAGAGGGAACACCAGTGGGCATTCAACATCACCGCCACCGCACAGCGCCCCCTCCCCCATACAACCACCACTCTCCCCATCATTGCTGCCAATTGTGACAGCAACAACCCAACTCAAGTGTACTTTGAGTACATAAGAGAACATCAAGATTAGTGCCTGGGGGATTTCCTTGTCTGTAGTACTGGCTGTATTTTGTATTTTCTGTCTAGTTTTTTCAAGAAAACTCCTTTCCTACGCTTTCTCCATGCCTGCTGAGCGTAACACCCATGCCAGAAACAACAATGAAACTTCTAATCTGGATCTGCGCCATCGCCCTCTGGCTCCTAGGCACAACAATTCTCCAATGGCTGGTCCCCAGAGAGAGGCAACCCCTTACCCTTCCCACCTCCAAACTCTAGAAGAACGTTTCACAGCTGGAGTAATAGAGATGCCAGCTCCTAGGTGTCTCATCTTGAGCTTCCCTTCTCAACAGGAGTCTGATGACTCTTCCCTAGAGTTCCTTGATGAAGGCGGTTTCCGTTATCCGTTTCCCCCTTTCCTGCCAAATGTCACTTGTTGACCCTTCCTTGTCCCAGGACCCCCTGACTCATCCAACAGTGACGCCGTGGTCTTACACCAATTTCCTGGACCCCTGGACGTTTCTCAGGAATCAGAAGCTACCACTGGATCTTACCACGTTGCCCCTGCACAGGTTTTTCCATCCTCATCACCAATGAATATCTTGTCTTCTCCCAACCCTGACAGCCCTCTCGCTGCATCCACCAACTCACCCAGTATGCCATCTCTCGCTTCAGATGTCTCCGACAACGGTAGCCTCAACCACGTTCCCAATCTATGACTCTTAGCAGACGTCAGCGAATATATCACCACATCAGAAGGGCACAGCAGCGATCCTCAGGAATTTGTAGTCTACAGCGATGACATCATCCAGCGACCCTCCAACAATGTCACCCGATACTGGCAATCCCTTCCATTCGACGCCGCTACCCCTGTTCAAGATGTCGATCCCTTGGAGCGTGTATTGCCCTACTTTCCTGGAGCATACACTACCACCATCACCTGGCCTCCTATGGGTGTTCCCATTGATGGGAATCCGGCGTTTGGACTACGACGAGTATCGACAACCCTGGCTGATATACTTTGAGTTGCTGAACCCGTAGGAAATTGGAACCTTTCAGACAAAGAATGGGAGGAGGACACTTGGGAGTACTTGCTGACATGAGATGATAATCTGTTGGAAAGTCTTTGGGCCTCACTACAAGACGTCAAGGATCCCGGGGTAGCTGATGAAGTTGACCGTTTCAGGGCTGTCGATGCTAAAATTGATTTACTATTGGCCGTACAACAATCAGTAGGGGCCGAACTCATCTGTGCTCAACAGGAGATGGACCAATGCCGTGCTCGTCTTAAAGCGACCAACCTGGAGGAACACCTCGAACAGCATGAGTTCTCCATTATCACTTCTCCCTCGGGTGCTATGCCTCGTCACCTTCGCTTCTGTACTAAATGTGAAACCGATGGTCATCTTCAAAGTGAGTGTTGGCACTGGTTGTGTTCCCAGTGCAGTCTTCTACATCCTCGTCATAAATTCCGCACCAATGTCAACATCCAGCCTGGACAACTTCCTTGTCCTGCCGACGAACCGGGGTATCTACAGGAGTGCCATGCTCAATGGAAACTCTGATGACAAATCTAGAGAGGGGGGTAATGTTACAGCTTGAAGGGGGGGTTTCTTTTCTTTTCCTGACTATTCGTCATTGACCCTGTAACTGTATGACTGATCCCATCACTTGATGTGTTTCACCTACATCAGTGTTTCATATCTATCACGTTTCACCTATATCATGATTTACTTACATCACATTTCATCTCTATCACGCTTCATCTTCATACTGATACAACCCAGTGAAACCTGTTTAATGAACATCACTGATCCAACTCAGTGTTTCATACTTATTAAACTCTATTCACTTTTATTTAAGTAGCACTTACTTTCGCTACTGTACTTCAGTTTTGTCCTCTTGTTCCCTACATACCTTCATAGGGACATTCTCAGTAATAGACTCAGTTGTCTATTCCAGTTCAGTCTGAAGCGTAGCTTTAACCAGTATACGTTCTCAACCTACTGCTAGTTGCAGTAGCTCAGTCTTAAGTCTAGTTCTAGTACAAGCGCGTCAGCCTTATGCGTAGTAGTATCTTTTGTCAGCAGTAGTCTTAAGTGGAACTCCTGATCCTCAGTTGTCAGGTCCCTTAACAGGTTGGGCCTCCAAGACTAGCAGGAATAGCACGTTGGATGGGAATCAGAAACTGATGGAGATGTCAGATGGGAGTAGGAAAGATATTGGGATTGTTTGGCATAGTCAGGGCAGTGGAGGCGGTGACTCAGGAGGTTCGGCAGGATGAGGGATATTTAAGAGCGGTTTTTCATGGTTGTAAGGCGGCACTCGGCCCCTAGTAGTGAGACTTGCGCAGAATCACATCCCCCACTCAGCAGAGCTCAGTCCGACTTCAAACTCTTTTGAAGTGTTGCGTCTCCCTATGAACTACAACTACAATCCTCTGAACTACGTCTGCGACCTTCAAACTACGCTTACAATCTTCAAACCTCGTCCCCTACCAGTACACCCCCTTCGAGGCACACCCACGCATACAGCTAAGTACTCCGAAGTTCTGTTCTTGTGCCCAACCTTTGAACAAGATCTGTGTGTCCGTGCTCGAATCGCATTTCGCATTTGACTTGTCGAGCTAGTTCCCCTCTTACCTTCCCTCCGCTTCTACGAGAAGTCAGAGTGTTTGGATGGTCCAAAACAGTCTCGTGACACCGTCCCAAGAAAACATAGTGAAGTCGTCACCGTTCGAGCGAGCTATCACAACTACAAGCCCTCACCCCCATCAGCTTCCCTGAGAAACAGGAACTAACCCTTTACTTTGCACCCCTAAGTTAGGGTTAGGTTTCCTGAGGTCGCATCAGCGTGGATCTTATTGAAGCAAAGGAGATTCCTTGCTTGGGACCTGGTTACTGCTGGTTGTTCTGCTGCTGTAGCCACTGTGGCTTGCTGCAACTAGGAACTAGTTGTTAAGGGACCTAACAACTGAGGATCAGGAGTTCGACTTGTTAAACTGTTACTAGGACTAATACATGCTATGGTCCTACGCCGATACTAGAGTGCAAACTGAGCCGCTATATCTGATAGCGG